ATATTAATTAACCATTAAAGAATATGTTTTAATTTCAATTACAAAAATAGTTCAATTAAATCTACGTGGAAAGTAGAATTGATTAATTCAATTCCTTTCACTTATTTCGATCTATTTTAGATATACCGCAATTTAATTACATTTATATTTGTTTAATTAACATGTACAAACATTACAGAATGATTTTTTTATCCAATTTATTTAAATAACTGAATTATAATGATAAATGTATGAAGATTAATTAAAGAAACTAATGCACATTTCTCAATTTTTTTTGATCAACTTCATTATAGAATGATTCATTTTCTTATAAGATTATGATTTCTTTAAGTACTAAAAATGTAATTATTGCAGCAATACAGACTGTGTTTTTTTACTTGTAAAAGTAGATTAATTGAAAATTCCACGGAAAGTAGAACTAATGCATTCAGTTTCTTTCAATTATCTCGGTCTATTATAGATCTATATCGCAATCAAATCCAGGGTAATTCCAATCCTTTTTCTTCCATCAATATACGTTACAATTACAGATTGACAGTTCTTCAATTATTTAATAAATAATATAATTAATGTAAGTGCTGTTGCTAGATATATCGAAAATATGATTCCTTGTTGTTCTGAGGGCCCCAATGCATTCAGTCCTGTTGTCAAGTATCGACATTTTTGCAACTTAACAACAAAGTATTCGAAAATTCTAATATTTCGATGATACGAAACTGATTAATATATATTTTCATTTTCTTCAATTATTATTTCGATTTTTTTTTGTATTTTAATAACGAAAACGAATTAACGTTCAATTTCTTGCACAAATGAAATCATCATTAAAGCTATGAACAAAATAATGAGTATGAAGATTAATTTTCTTGCAATATACACTTCTTTTTACCATTACATAACGTTTGTTTTTCATATACAATTTGCTTTGAATACTTGAATTAAGTTATTTATTCTAAGTTGTATTACCCATTATACCATATCATTACCGACAGATTTGTTGGTTTATTCGAAACAAAAGGAGTAAAGTATATATTATAGTTAATAGCAGGAAAGAAAAGTATAAACAAATAGAAACAAAGTTTTTAGTGAGAAATAATTCAAATTAACTAAAGTATTATATAGAAATAACAGCAATACCTACCGCATAGTGCGGATTCACTTTTGAAAATTTCGAAACATACAAATTTATATTTCATCATCATCATCATCACAAAAAAATTTGTAAATACAAAATATTATTTTCTTTATTTTTGCATTAACTATTAAAATAATGCATCAAATCATAACTACAGTTATTTAATTCATAAAACTATTAATCAACCCATAAATTTAAATAAGATTTTTTTTAAATGAATCCTTAATAAGATATTTTTCTATCTATAAAAGCATTAAAACGAGAAATTATAATTCTTTGTTTTGGTATAATTCTATAATCGGTAGAGTATCTTCACCTTTGAAGCCACTTTCTAAAGTGTCGCAGAATCTATTAGCTATTGAAAACTGTTTTTTTTTCAGTGCACACAGTATTATTGTCTTCTATATAAGTAAGACGAGGTCCTTGTTATGGAACCGGTCTTGTCATATCAATACCATTCCCTATGGTAATACGCTTTGCAGCATTTAATACAGGCTAATTTAATCCGTGTGATAAATTACACATACGGTTAGTTCTACTTTATTTTATTACACTAATTAATCGAGAAATCCTGTATTATCATACTAATTTAAGCGTGTAATTTAAACTATATGTAAATCACTTTATTTACAACACCCACAACAAATCCGTTCTCGTAATATAAATAGAAATATTTCATTTACTCCAATTACAACATAAAAGATTAAATTTAAAATAAATTTAAATAGTTTTAGAATTCTAATTGAACAAACTAAGTTTCCTAAAACTATTTTTTTAAATTTTATATTTTTTGTATGGAATCATAATTCTCACTAAATGTCATTTCTTATTTAATTTAATATGCAAAAATATTCAGTTTCTAAGAATAAAAAAGCGTCAAGTGTTAAAGGTCATAACCTAATTTGTTATTTTTAATTTAAAAATTATTATTTTTACACTATATAAAGGTGCTAATGTCAAACACATTTGTATGTAAAAATATACAGACGGAGAAACACGTGGATTCGTACCAGTAATAAAAAAATAATAAACAAAAATTTGAATTTTGATATGAATAAAAAAAATTAAAAATTGGAGCTGAAGTATGTAAAAAAAATACTCAAATTTGTATATTTCATGAAGAGTTTTGTAAATTTGATGTTTTCATATAAAACTGAAGTGTCCTTGTAAATACAAATGTGTAAAACTATTTATGAAAAAATCAGAAGATTTGTTCTTGACACATAAAAATAAGTTAATGGAACTGAATGAAAAGAGTAAATAGGTTTAGGATATTACTGTATTCGATAAATTATTCTATAATTATATAAGTAAATATACAATGGAAGTAGATCAGATATTTCTACGTAATATATTTACATATGTATGAATCACCTAAGTTTCTTTACTATTTTAACTTGTAAAATGTTAGTAATAGATCTATTGTTTTCTTACATTATTATTATTATACAACCGCAAAGAAATTTGAACTACTTTTAAAGGAAGGATGCGTTCTTTGTATAACTAATATACGCATTTTATCTTAATTATGGCACAAATGTCTTTTTTTTTTATATATAAAAAGAATAATTATTAGTTCTAATATATGTAATTAAACGCATAATTATAACCTCAGTTCTTCTTTCTAAGAACATTAGAAAATGGAAAATTGTGATGGGAATAACAATTTCGTTGAGTTATAAATAGAATGAATGTATTTACCATTGAAGTCTAGTTTTGATGAGTTGCAACGGCGGATATTGCGAGTGGAGAGAAAACCGCACAATTCATAATTTAATGAACGTTGGAAGCGGAATAAATATGCATTTTCTTCACTCTTATTTATGGAGATCAGAGGCAGAAGCTTCCTGGCTCCAGATGATGAGGAATTGCGCGGAACTGAGTAAGCACTGTCCGATCCTTTGTGCGGCCGTGACAATTATGCAATAAAATGCAGTCAGTAATGATGCGTTTCCGGCAATCAGTGTGGCGTTAATTAATGGAGCACCATTAAAGCGAATCCAGAAAGAATCTAGGGATCTCTGAATATGTGAGAACGTCCTAATTCGAAGCTCAGAGTGCTTCGTTGAAATATAAATCAAGGAAATGGAGATGGAGATGCAAACAAATTGCCACCTTTCGGCCTTAATCTGTCAGGCAACAGAGACCCATAACTCATAAATCCCGCCGGAAATTTATGCGGATTGCACCGTTAAACCTGGAGATATCTCAATCTGCATGCTCTTTCTCTCTCTACAATACAAGAGATTCCGTTTGCTGTAATCCGAGGTTTACCGAAATAGATACAAAGAGAACCATACCTCGAACCGGGTAATAAAATCTCACCATCGATGGTAATCGCCCATGGATGCGCTGGGAATAGTAACGACTGCTAGTTTCCATTTGGGAAGCCCGAAACAAGATTGGCATGACCTCCCTTTCCGCTCCAAATAATGTCACTTGGGCGAATTATGTAAGTTGGGACCGGTATTCTGATGAAGATTTGATTTACAATTGACTGTATGTCTTTAATTATTTCCGGTACGCAATGATCAAATGTAGTATTCCGATCAGAATTATGGTAGTAACCATGAAAAACCATGGTATGCATCTTATTAAGTCGCTAATTAGCGGCAACCATCGAAGACAAAACGGATTTGTTCGACCGATTCCAAGTACCTCGTACCAAGATAAATTGCTTTTTGATTATGTGCGTTTCTTTTTTATTATTTTCTCCTTCGTACAAACCACATCCATTATTACAATCATCATTATTACACCAATTTGCAGATGTTTTGTAACAGCGGGAGAAAGAAATACCTACTGAATTCATCCATTTCTTCCACATATAATTTTTAGTCCTGCCTTACTCATAACTTGTTGTTTCTACACAAAAATAAAGAAGAAAATATTGTTCCTATAGATACAAATATAAATAATCACAAAGAAATATACATTTTAGTCGGAAAATATTGCCTTCTACTTATTATTAAAATTGTAAAAAATAAGTTCCACAACTTCATAAACTAAATTAGTAGTAATAAAAAGTATAAATATAATGAGTGGACAATTTTGTATAGCACATAAACTACTTTAGACTTCCTATGGTATATTAAGTACTGCAATAAAGTCAGCTATAAATTTCTAACAACAAAACCAAACAAACTAAATAATTACAAAACTTTTATTTTATATTATGGCTACTGATTATATTCATATTCTTGTAACATGAAACTCCCCTCAATTACTACCAATGAACGTCCACTTATAAACCTTCAATATTAACTCTCATCAAGTACTTAAGTTAATAACAAAAAAAAACAATTCCAGATGATTTCTTTGTCAATTAGTTAAATTTGTTTAATCAATTTGATTAATAGACATTCTTGTAATATAAATTGCGCATATTTACAAGATTTCATCAGTTTAAAATTATGGTTAAAGCTATCATTACGATTAAATTGCTTAACTCATTTTTTCAAAAAAAAAAATAGTATAATAATTAATGGTAATTTTCAAACATTACTTCCTGCTTTAAAGCTCACAAATTCTCTTTTCTATTTTGTATTACACTCTTATATTAGTTGTCATCACTTATAAACCAACAATTATGTTGGATTTATTTAGCCAAACAACTTAATTATCGACTGAAAACAATTGATTTTATTTATATATACATTTTAATTTAAAAAAAGACATGCAATAATAACAAAATTAATGTGTTACCATATATATTTCCATTAGTTATGCACTTGGTTTATAAGAGTTTATTTTTATATAATAAGAAGTTATTTCATGTAGTTTTACTGTAGTTGTTTAATGGTTTATTTATTGCACTTAATATATTGTAATAGATTTGACATGCGCGTTTTATGGTACCTACAATTATTGATTTCTCTTGATCGGGGCGAACTTGGAAATGGGTTAATAAATAGTATTATTAATACTAATTGCTCATACGGCAATACCGAAGCACATGCTATAGTCGCGCTTTTCTTCCTTTTTTGACCTTCATCACCATCGGCTGCATTAGAAGTGTTATGCAAATGTTGGCCATAATTCGTTTTACAGTTTGCCACAAAGTAGGTTTGCTTATCCCCGAGGTGATTGGAAATTCGCATTCGAATGAGCGAAACGCGGGTCCGGGACCCGGGTCCCGCCGTCTGCACCGATCCAATCAATTAATCCGCGAGCCGCGAAGCCATCAAAGCGGAGGTCGCGGGTTCGCGCGCACGACGAAGTGCATCCTCTCATCCGATGATATTGTCTATAACTGTGCCTTCAAATAAATAAACATCCGCATGGAGAAGAGGGTCGTAACCCCAACCACTTGAACTCGTTGCGAATCGTGGCCCTTTGTTACGGTCCTCTAAGAGAAGATGAGGCGGCACTGGGAGGAACAACAGGCACGACCTGCTCCACACTTTATCACCGGAGCAGCCATTCACTATATTGCGAACAAGAGATGTTTACCGGATGTTGCGAAAGGGGCGCTTTCGCTCGCGGAAAGTAAAAATCCCGGAGAGCGGAAGTTGCCCGACAACGGGGTTAGCTATTCAGGTTATAAAGGAAACCGTTTTTTTTTGTTGTTGTTTGCAGAACCTGCTACCATTGCCGGCGGACGCTAGCGCGGCCTTGGTCAAGCCCACCAAATACCATTACTACCCCCACAACCAGCACATCTATCTTCTCCCGGAATGCGCCATCCAACAGGTAAATTACCATATCCGCGCCGATTTCCCGCGGCTGCGATCTAATTGACTACTCTTTTTGAAGGTTTGCAATGCTGTTTATGTCCGGCTGAACTGGACGCAACCGCTGTGCGCCTGTCCTTCGAGGTACAGAGACCCTTGCTCAGCCAGCCTCAATTCTGATGATCTTCACACTACCGAGTTAATGACTGATAGGAATTCCCGGGTAAGTTCAAATACATGTTGGGCTGATATTTCAGTTTCGCAATCTGTTCTCCCAATGGAGGTGGGCTTTTACACCGTTATCCCAAGAAGAAACGCGTGGGCGGACAACGCTTGCATTGTTAACTCTCGACATTTTAACAAGCAAACACTATATTTGATTCTTTTCCGCAGAGGGCCCTGACTCTGGTAAAGACCTGTGAACCTACGACTGAGATGAGAATGTGCGGAGCTCCACGTGACTGGTCACTGTTGGCTCTCCAGAACATCAGAACAGGAAAATCGCATTACCTTGTCATATGCCGTTGCCCAGACACCAGCATTTTAGGTACATTCCGCTCTTAAAATGATTACAACGTACATTAATTATATGAATAATATTACATAAATAAATTTCAGAGGGTCCAATGTCACACAGTCAACCGACATACGCAAGCGTTCCCGGGATTAGAGTTTATGGTATGGTTTGTGTACCAGGTGTTGGTAACAACAAGAACCGAAGGGGCCGCCCGTTGAGAATCACGAGGTCTCCTGAGAACCCACCTTTCCCATGGAAGAAGGCTTTGGAGTTCTCGAAAACCGCCGTCTGGGACGACTAAACACCACCATGACCCAAGCATCACGGACCCAAATGCAAACGAATTTCCCCAATTTTAATTATTACTTTAGTCTTTAGTTAATGTGAATACGTTCAGTGGATCAGATCCACCAATTACATTTTATTAGCTTAATATTTAGTAGCAAATTTAAACTGCAACAGTACAATAATTTCAAAAGGCGCGCCATCGCAACTATTTATTTATTTATTTTATTATTTTTCATTTTACTTTATTTTAATATTTTTTTGTTTGTTTGTTTATTTGTTCGTGTCTCAATTTGAGGGTTTACTCTTTGTTTCACTTCATGGAACCATTGCGCTCACGTTTCGCGAGCATTTTATGAACGAAATCTATGGGATTTAAGCTTAATTATAACGAAGATCAAACTTAGACTGTAAGACATTTTTATACAATAAAGCGAATAATGAATATTATTGTTTCACTTACCCAAAATCCTAGTATTCACTTGGATGTCCGTCATGAAGATGGGCTCCATGAGTCTCTGCGTTTGCTTCTTGAAGCTCTCCCGGAAACAATCTTTTACACTGACAGGAATCCCAGCTATGACCGTGGCTTTCAAATCCATTCCTTTCAACGCATCGTAATTATTTAATTGATAGTCATTGATAATAACTGCGCAGTGCGAGATAGGCTCTTCGCATATTGGACCGGCTCGACACCACATATCGAATCCATTGATGATGCAATGATCTAAACACGCTCTGACATCAGCTTCATCCATGGTAGCAAAAATATTTCGTTTGTAATCTGATGTGTTATTGATCAACAGGTTTATGTAATCTCTCTTCTTGCCTATGCTCCAGACTTTCTTCCACATATCGCCGAATTTGCAGCTCTCAAACGCCGATTTCAGCTGTTCTTTAACTCGTTGCATCAATATTTCATTACTGTAAATCTTTTCTGATGATACTGGTAAATCACCTCCATTGTCGTACTGCAGGATTAGATCGATTCCGGATTTACATTGAAATTCCTCGATTAATTTAAGAAGCTCAAAGTTGCTACAAATAGCTTGAACGATATTTTCTGGTAAAGGAACTATAGTGGCGTTCAAGATCAACCCGATATCTTTTAAATTCATTTCTATTGTGAACGGAGAAGTCTTGGTGTGGTCCACTCGTTTGCTCAAACTAATGATAGTTTCTTTAATAGAAACCATCGGTTTTGAAACGTTAATATCAATTTTCGCAACCATATTTTGGATATCTTCTATACATTTGGCTAAATGAACATCTCCAGCGGTAACAAGAACCAATTCTCCACTGTCTTGCATAGCTACTTGGACACAAGAATCTATCTTCTTTAAGAACTTCAAACCTTTTCTCAAGAGTGGTAACTCCTTTGGATTATGACATTCAATAGATGTTCTTACAATAGGCTCCAATGTAATTCGTTCTGTCAATGGTAAAGCATACAAAGTACTGCAGAGAGTACCTGTTCTTGCAATAAACTTTTCCAACCCTAATATACCACAAATATTTCCTGCTGAAACTGACGCTACAGCTGTAAGTTCCCTACCCAAAAGCACATACAGTTGCTTTATTTTGACTTTTTGGATGAATTCGCAATGCTCAGCGTACTCTTCGCCATCGACATCTTTACCAGGTGGTCTATACTTGGAAGACAGAATATAAATCTCTTGTCCGGTTCGCAAAACTCCAGAAAATACTCTAGCTAAAGCCAATACTCCATACAAATGAGTCGAATCATTTGTTTTATCATAATTCTCCTCGTCTTCGCTCAAATCCTCTTCATTTTTAGAATCTTCCTTTTCTTCTTCTTTCTCCGCCATCTCATCTAATTTCATTTCATTTATAATTTCATTTCTATCCCTTTTACCTGTTACAATATTGATAGCTTTCTCTTGATTCAACATTCTCTTACTGGCTGCAAACATTTTTGATACATAAACCACAGTTGGGATTTCAGGCTCAGCACACCTCTTGAAGTTGTCTATCATTTTTTCAGTGTATGAAATCATTTCAGTATTACCAAAGTACTGAGTGGAATTAATCAGATAGTTAAATCTTTGAGGATCTACCTTAGTGGGTGGAGGTATAAATTCATTGACTTGTTGAAATATAGTCATAGCCAAAGGCTTCCAGGCTTGGAGAATAGCCTTTACTTGAATCTTAGAATCAGTATGTTTCATCTCAGATGTTTCTTTTTTAATATTCAACTTGGTAACAATCGTGTTATATTTAGCACGATCCAAACGAATTCGCAATGTGAAGTAAACGTAGTGAATTGTATTAAGAAATAATGTTATAAATATGTTAGGTTTCTTTTTACCAATTGCTCCTGTGACGAGTTTTCCTTTACTGACATAAAAATCAAAATCCCACATCTTTTTATTTAAACTATCAGCGTCTTCATCAGGAAATACGTTAAGAAACATGCTAGCAACTTGTTTTGTTGTTACACCCCATCCATCAATAGCACTTGCAAATATAACATTACCCAGAACTGGAGAGAACATATAATTCTCTTCATTAACATCACTCTGCACATCATACTTACAAAGTTCTGATATGTATGCATTACAATCTTCAATTATATGCAGAATACTTTGAAAGATTACATCAATCGGCTTGAGAAGATCTACAATCATTCTGTCTACTTTATTTATTATCAAAATCATCTTAATCTTCTCCTCAAAAGCCTGCTTCAAAGCCTCTCTAGTTTGAACACAAACTCCTTCAATGATATCAACTACAATTAAAGCCCCATCACAAATTCTAATAGCAGCAGAAACTTCAGTCGAGAAATCAATATGGCCTGGAGTATCAATCAAGTTTATTACCATGTTCTCTTTATTCTCATTTGTGTATGACAAGCTAATAGCACTGCTCTTCATAGTAATGCCTCTCTCCTGCTCATCCTTTCTATCATCTAAATATCTTACATTTCCGGCAATCCTCTTTGATATGTGCCCATTGCTGGCTACCAATGAATCAGCTATAGTAGTTTTTCCATGATCAACATGTGCTAAAATACAAATATTTCTAATAAAATCTGGCCTGGAGCCTTGATTAGCAGTTTCAGTCATAGCTGTAGCTTATCTTCTTTAATTTCTAAGTAAACTGTAGAATCACTTGAAAATCACTTAAAAAAATCTTATTAGAACCGAACCAACTTTAAGAGCAATATTGTGAAATAAATTTGAAAGAATTGCAGGTTATGTAACAAATGTTGCCTAATCTATTTGTCAGAGGGTTTGCCTTACTACCAGAAGATGACGCCAATGATCATATTTTGAATAATTCAGAATTGTACTTTATTTAAAACTCATTTCTACAGGAAAATAAGCTGAGGTGATAAGGGCACTTTTTATTGTTATGTACAGAGTAGTTGGTTATTTTACCAAGCAAATAGTAATATAATGTAGGGCAAGAAAATTGTATAAAGTGAGTAACTTCTATGGATTATAGGTGCGGAATCTGTAGCATTGCAGCATTGCGTAGCTAGTTCAATTACTTTCGGATAGTACTCGTTCCAGAATTTAAAAGACTTGTAGTTTAGTCTTGTTTGGTCGCTCATGTTGAAAGTCCTGTCGATGATAAGAATCCCTGGATCGTCCTTGGTGAAGGGATCCCATTTAATAGGAAATATGCTTCCTTCGGTAGGATCAGAAGTTTTCGCAAAGTTCGTCCAGAAGGACATAATAATATCTGATGTTCGTTTGTCCCTTAGGTCCCATTCCTGTTTTGGAAGAGCGATCCAGTAGGGAATACCCCATATGTATATTAAATCGTACAGATGGGGAACGGACACCCATTTAGGTATATTACCAGTGACTCCTTCAGTGCTTGGCTTCATATCGAAGCGATACATGTAGGTTGGTTGATCTTTGCTTGTGATGAAGGCGTGCAAGTATGTAGAAGATCCGTAATACTTTTCCGTATTAAAATCAGCAATTAATTGTCTTGCTTTCTGGGTATTATTCAATGGAACGCTCGGACCGTAGAAAAACATAACTGAATCCATGATGTGATCATAGTTGTAAATGCAGCTATCCGTGTTGTTTATGACTGGCAAATCTCTGTTGACGATTTCGTTCAAAACTGTTAGTATCTTTTCATCTTCTATTTCGTCGTTCAAACCATCAATTGACAGTATATCCTCCATATTGGTATAACCGGTTAAGACAGGTACTTTATTGAAGTCTCCGCGCTCGAAATGCGCTCGAGGCGATTCTCTTAGGAAGGGTTCCGAGCTGTTGCTTAAACCTAGATCAATAACTGGTCTCCAGTTCACATACGATGTATGGCTTACTAAGGATGCTCCATCTAGTCTTCTTAAGCATTCCATTAGAGAGGAAGTAGGCGTTCTGTAGCACGCGAAGGAAGCAGCCAGGTCATCGAGGACAGTTTTATCTTCAGCTGGGTTCTTTACTGCAGCAGAATTCATGAAGTTTCCGCTCATCGATATCACCTTATGGAAGAGTCCTTTTGATTGTGGATTTATCATATGAATAGCAATGCTCATAGCTCCTGTACCATATCCCATTAAACAGATGTTATCCGCGTTACCACCGAATATCTGGATGTTGCTTTTGACCCACATCATAGCTGCCTGCTGGTCCATCAATCCAAAGTTTCCGGGCGCCTCGCCATCCATCGTAGTCAGGAAACCCATTATGTTTAAGCGCCACGCGAAGGTGACCACAATCACTCTCTGCTTGTAGATCAGTGTATGCGGGTTCCACATGCCAGGATTTCCTGTGGTGAAGTTTCCCGGGTGGAACCAGATGATCGTCGCGAAACCTTCTGGTGGCGGATTACCTGAAATCAAAAACAAATTACTAGCGAGCGGAATTAAAGCGCATAATTCCACGATTTGACGTGCAGATTGTTTACATATAGGTCACGAGGAATGGTGGCATAGGCGACGGGGTCACGCGATCCCCGTTTTAGGCAAGTCCAGAGTCGAGCTGCAAATGCTGTTACTTTCTTGGTCTGGGCTAGGCTGCGTGCGGACCCAGGGGGCGGCAGTAATGGTACGAAGGCACGCCACTGGTTCCGACGTGCAGACTTTTACGATTTGCATTTATTTTTTTTCTTTCACATTTGGTTCGCAGTCCAGTCCAATTCGATTCGAAGAAAACCGGACGAGCCCTCCACCGTCGACTACATACGCATCGTTCGGCCTTGGGGTTGGAAAAATTTTCCACGTGAACTTGAAATTTATCACCGCAATAAATCTAATTATGAAAATTGCTGGAAATTATTGCAAATTTATGCGGCGCATGTAAAATGGACTTGGCACGAAACCTAAATTGCAATTGTAACACTTCCTAACCGATGGGGTTTAATTTTTGACGCATCCCTCATTACAAATTCATAACATCCCTTCACTTTTATATTAAATTCATTATTATACACATTTACTTGCTTTTAATGAAATAATCAATAATTTTATTTTGATTTGTTTGTTTGTTTAATTATGTAATAATTGCTGTTTTCTTTTTCATACTGTTTCTTCATTAATTTATATTCTTATAATTGACAACAATATAATTATGTAGAAAAATAATATAAAAAATGTATGAACTTCTCTTAGGAAACTGAAATAAAAATCTATACTTTCATATATTAAATATTATATTATTTTTTCAGTAAAAACAAAAGAACTAAATTAAACTAAACTAGATAAAGATACAAATTAAAAAAATAAACAATTTAAATGTTACAATAAATATAAATTAATGAAATATGTGAATTAGTTTTCAACTTATAAAGGGTGTCCCAAAATTAAAGCAAGATTTAAATTTGCCGCCATTTGTGCATTATGGTTCAATAAAAACATCACAATCTGAAGACTAAAAACTGTGTTTTCTATTTAATTCAAATCTTGCGTTAATTTTGGGACACCTTTTATTTAAATAATGGGAACAAAAGTTCCATAAAATATAAAAAAAAGTAATTTAAGTTTTGTCTAACTTATTATATGTATATTTTTTATGTATGTTGATGTAAAATGTATATATTAATAATATTTAAATAAAAAAAGCTTTTTTTTTCTCAAATCTTATTAAACATAAGAAACATACTTTGATAATATATACAATTTAATATGTAGATAGAAAAAAGCAATTCCATGTAAAGAATTAATTTACTCTATTTTTGAACTCATAATAACATACATGGAGTTTCTATTAATATTCGCTTTATCAAATCCCTTATGAATAAATGAATAAGAACGTTGTGTTTCTATAAACAATGAAGCATGTTTTTGTATAAAACAATGATAAAACGCACACACAAATGTAATATACAAAATTATTCAATTGCAGTTTATAATTGTTACTTGGTAATATTTTAAAAACTACTTTTCTGGTAAGAAATTGCTGCCTTTCGCTCTGATTTACAAACAATATCTTAAAAATAATTCTTTATTCCAAAAAAGTTAAACAAATCAAAACAAATTTTTAAATAATCATACATATTATATAATTTAATTAATAATCAAAATGCCAATAAATTATTTTAAATAAATATTTTACAATAAATATATTTCAACCATAGAGAAAATGTATAGTAAAATAACTTTACTTGCATTTTCATACATATTATTGATGAAAAAGTTGCATTAAAAAGTTCAAAAATGATCCGAACACGCAATAAAGCAATTTGACACACGAAGACATTAAAATTAGAAGTCGTAAATGATGATTTCGACGCACCATCCAGGATTATATAAAAAAAGCAAGGAAAGTGCTAGGAAACGACCTAATCACGAAAACGTTTTAACAGAAGTTTTAATTAAGATTTTATTCAACTGCATATTATGGCTATTATAGATTCAGGCAAATGGAAAAAGCTTGTAATGTTTACTTAAATTGCTAAAATAATCTAAGAAAACAATTCTATCAAAGATATTTTTAATTACTGGAATTAGAGGAAGTTTAGTTAAACACTAAATATAGTCTACGTTCATTTAATGTACTTTATATGTCCGTTAATCCGAATATAAAAATGCATATTAGATTATCACTTTGTTCGCACGAACGTACTTAAAATTCATAAAAAAGTACACTTTGCCATCGTTTGAAATTCCATTACACATTGTTGTACGTCTGTGCGAACTAACAGGCCACCTACTTATTATCGAAACTTAAGCTACAGAAACAATGAACTTTCTAAAACCAATAAATAAAATTTAGTGTAAAAAATAATGTTGAAATTTTTATTAAGAAATTATTTAATTATATGCAAATAAATGTGAACAAATTCAAATTCTACGAAGTAATTACGCCAACTGGTCACAATAGCAAGAACATTTTCAAAGTAAAAAAAAATGTTAACAAGAAGATTGAATGTAAACTTTTGTACGTTGAAACTAACATTTATTAAAATTGCTTTACTTAATTCGTTCTTACTTCATGTACCCACTTGTCCCCCTTTCGGGGTTTGCTTTTTTTTCTGCGCCGATGGCAAAGTTTGATAAGTTTGCGTGACAAAGCAGCTACATGCGGTGTAGTTACGCAACTGATTGCAGTGCTTTATTTCCATACTGGCGGCAATTACAACTTGGTCGCGATAATTTTATTATGTTTTCCTTTTTTTTTTCCTCTTCCCTTTTTATGTATTTTTTAGTACATAAGAACTAATAAATCTAAATCACAAAGACGACCGAAAAATACAATCGTCGCCTGAAAAATTGAATAATACAAAAAAATAGCACAAGCAGAATGGTTAAGTCGCTCTACACACGATTTAGTGGGCGCCGGTTCAAATCCTGGTCAATCCAGACACTTTGTGAGCCCTCTTGGTGCTTGCAGCAATAGGGCCATCATTCATCACATATGGACAGTCAAATGATTGAGGTTGAGCCAAGTCGATTGACAATGGATTGTTAAGGATAGCAGCAGATTTACAGTCAAAGGAAATAGTGAAAAAATATTTGAAAACTTATTCATTTAAGTCCCAGTTAAATAAGATGAAAGAATTTGTTAAGTATTCAACAAGATGTTGTCAAAAACGTCTTTCTTTTTTAGTATGAAAATTTATTAATGTCACTGTTGACTAACAAGACGGTCGAAGAAAATAATGGTCACTTGAAAAGGTGAGTGAGTGGCAGAAAGTGTTACATATTAAACAGGACATTGCAAAAAAACAAAATGTATAAGAGATGAATAATTCAGGTTGTAATCATTCTAAATTCCATTCCCGAATTGAGAATTCAATTAACTGGCGATTCAATTACGACAGGTGCAATTAGAGTGGCACGAAAAAAAAAATAGAGGACAGGACGATCGAATCGGCTTTGCAGTAATTTATAAGTACGTTTGCTGCGAGGAACGTTTGCATTCGACGGCGGCATAAATTATATTCACTGAATTCCGGATAAAAATTCCCGGTGATTTACGGCAGAAAATATTCATTCATTTGAATACAGCCCTTATTTATAACTGGAAACGAAAGGAAGTGGCGATCGGACTACCAGATAATAGCAACCCTTTTCCCATATCCTTCGAGGAAACAGTTACTCTTGTCGACGCAGAATATTCTCTCCGAACCTCACCTCACCTCATATTGACTAAACCGAATGTAGATTTTGGGTATCTTTGTATATAATACCCGGCGCATCCACTCACCGTATGGCACGAACACGTTTAGATACAGACAATCCTCGCTGATGTTGAAGGACAGCTGAGAGAACAAGTTCAGGAACGGTATCTCCTGTTGCTTGTAGTCCTTCTCCGTCTGAAGGCACGGATCCTTGAACTTCGTAGCATCGTAGACTCCTTCCCATGATGGTATGGGATCTATCTGAGGAGGCGCGAACCTAAGCTGATTCAGCGGCGGATGAGCGTATGGTATACCCAGGTATGCGATTATCCTTTGGGTTCGTATCAAAGACATCTCCATCCCCTGGAGCTGACCTTGGTTGGGGATGGTTAAGATGGGTGGCTCACGCGCTGAGCACGTGCACAGTGCCACCAAACACATCAGATTCAAGCGAAACATCGTTCCAAACTGGGAACCAAACTGGCTCCCCGGAGGCCCGGGACGTGTGTTGCGTGACTCGCGGAGGGTTCATGCAACCCTACCTTCCACGGTCTTACACACCGCCGCTAAACCACCCTCTGTAATCTGCGCGCGATCAATTTCTCCACGCCAATTTAAATGGGAGAGAGAAGAACGAAAAACAAAACTCATGGAAAACACACTCACATGGGGAACGAATGGCGCAGAGCAATCTGATTTCCAAAAGTATTTTGCCCGTTTCCTTAATTGCCTTTTAAACACTTTGAATTACTTACTTCTTTGAGCCAAACCTTACCGAATCCTATAACTTTCACCAATCTTTGATAACAACTTGAATTTGGGGTAGTAAGTATACATAGTATATTATATTCAATATCTTGTTTCCAACAGGATAAATAGTTTTCACATATTAACATCAACTGAAAAATATTCTAATTATTTCTTATATTTCGTCATAAAAATCGTAATTTATTGAATCAAAACAAAAGTTACAAAAAGATTCATATCAAAGTTTTTCGAAAAAAAATTATTTACAAATTATTTTTATTTACAATATTAGTATGAAAAAGTATTGATTTCAGTAAAATTTTCGCCAATTCTATACATATAAAAAGAAAAATTATTTACAATTATCTTTAATCAATTAAATTAAAATTTTTGCAAATTATTTTTACCAAGTAATTTAAGTTTTTACTTTGAAAAATTTGTTTCTTATTATATTTTCCAAATATTTATAAATTTGAATTATTTTGATTAAATCTATATAGTAAGAAACTATATGTTATAAAACAATATAAAGTTTGATTATAAATTAAGAATAATTCACATTTATATATCAAGGATTTTTTAAATTTATTTTTTGTTATAATATATCACTGTTACAGATATGCCAGTTGCCCTTAGAACAATTGTAATTAAAGCAGTATATATTAAAAATCTTATATATGACTTTAAAAAAATCTGATTGAAAAAAAAACATAAGCAAACACACGCAACTTATAGTTTACTCGCTGACTTTCGTGTGGACAAATCCGTTTCTTAAAATTTTAGATGAGATTAAAATTTTACCGAAAAGATAAGTTGTTTCTAGCTTTTAGAAAACCTTGCATTACAGGTGGAAACGTGGTACTGTGGGATTTCCCCATCTTCATCAATCACCCAGGATCAGTACTTTCATTGTATTTCACTGCATTGTTGATTGTATTCCTTCTCATCGGCCTTCTTCAGACTCCGCAATGTTTTAAACATTTTAAATGGAGAAATTTAATGGTATCATTAAGATATGTAAGATCAATATTAGTATATAAATGTAATACATGTTTGAAAATGCAGGATTTATATTTTTTAATTATTTATTCGATAACCGTGCATGCTGACTAGATTAATAAATATAAATATTAAAAACAAAATCATGACCTTCCTAGTCTACTGCCAGTAGAATTGACCATTCCCTCTTGTTAAAATTGTAAATTCAATTATACGAATGCAGTATTTTCACGTTGTGTCTAATAAGAACGTATTAGATTCTTCATATTAATAAAGTATATAAGTAATATTTTTATTGTTTACTCCATGATACAAGTATACATAAAATGTAACACTAGATTGTTTTATTTACATCTCATTTGACGCATTTAATACAGTAAATGATACTCAGGTTTGGTAAAGATAAGAGAACAATGAATGACTTTGAAATATTTGATTACAATAGTAACTTATGACCCCAATCTCACATATATTTAGTATCTTGAATTAATACACCCAATTTCTTATAAAATTAGTAGTTATTGAGTAAAGTATGTTACTTAACATAACAATAAATATAATGTGTTTACTAAACTCAAGAATTTGTTGACTTTACATAAACTTGAATTTATATCTGAAGCATAAAAAAATGTTTACTCAAACTCAACACATTAAACCGTACTATTATCAGTAGCTGACGGAAATATAGTATATTGAGTCATGTTGTATTATTCCTTAGTCAACAAAATCCAAATCAACTTGCTTGAAGTGAATAAAACGTTATGTTCAATAGTTTCTAGGTATAATGGTAGCAATGAACTTCTTTGTTTAGTTAATTTGAAGATTGTATATAATAAATATGTATGAATACATAATATTAAATGTAAGTTTAAGATAAACAGGAATATAAACAAAAGTGAACGCTATACACAATTTATAAACTGAAAATCAGCACACCATTGGCTATTATTATTTCTTTAATTTCCGTCATTTGTTTTGTGAAATCATTATTGTGCGACGATGGCTATTGAAAGCTGTGCAGATTGGTTTGTCCTGTTTTTTAATATGTGTATGTTCATCCCGTTGGTGATTTTTTATTATATATATGAAAGAGACGATAATTATAAAGAGCCAAATTTTGATAAGTGTCGAGAAGCGATACAAGATGTATCATTAGATTCGTCTGAAGAAGAAGTAGTAGTAGAAGAAGAACTATATGAATAAGAAGATGATGAAGATTCATCAAGTTATAATTATAATTAATAAGGTTTTATAAAGAAAGAATAGGTGAGGAAGAGCATTTTTAAAAGTTCAAATAATTTTATTATAAAAACTAAACTGTTTCTTAAGGACTTGTGCTGCCATCACTCAGTAAAGTTAATAGTTAATTTGGCGCAGAAGCTATAACCTAAAAAAGCATTTGACAAATGCCTTAAATTTGTTTGTAAACTTTGTAATGTATGTTAGCGAAGTGTAGAATAATTGATGTCTTATGCTACCCAACAAGATGATAACCTTATCACAAAGACTAAAAAAACAACAAGACCAAAACACCACAAATAGCAGGATTTCAATAAGAGATAAGCTATTGATCAAAGAGGTGCAAGAGATGTTGTTACCTACCAATTGTACAGTTAGCTATGATAACGTTAATGATTTAAGTTCATTTATGTTAATTGTGAAACCTATTGAAGGGTATTGGCAAGGAGGGAAGTTCCGATTTGCAATAGAAGTCCCAGAAGAATATAATATGGTTGTAAGTATTAATAATTGAAAGAAATTGATTTATTTGATAATTAAATTGAAATTTTAGCCTCCAAAAGTTAAGTGCCTGACAAAACTTTGGCATCCAAATATAAATGAATCAGGTGAAGTATGCTTGTCATTATTGAGACAGCATAGTGTTGACGGGTTAGGTTGGTCTCCTATCAGGAAACTGAATGATGTTGTATGGGGCTTGCATGATTTATTTACAGTAAGTAAAAATAAATCCAAAAATTACAAATTTTTTACTTGTTTTGATTATAGGATTTATTAAATTTTGATGACCCATTAAATCCTGATGCAGCAGATATGTATTACAATTCAAAGGAGGTGTTTCACAAAAAGGTCTGTGAATATGTAAACATGTATGGAAGGGATTGAGTAAAAAATGTGATTAAGATATATTAGTTTAGGGACATTATGATGTGCAAAATTCAAATATCTATGAGCTCGATATTGTAAGGGAAATAATTACTTCACTTTTCCCATTTCTCAATGTGCAACGTGTGTGTCTTAAATGTTGTTTTTTTTATTATTATTAATTTTGTTCTTGAACTTTGGATATTTCTTTTATATATGTGTAAGGTTTCAAATGAAATTTTTCATTTTATTTACTTCATCCACGAGAATTCAGCATTTCTTAGGATTCACTGTAAATAAAATCTTTGTAATTAAAAATATATTTATAATATAATTATGTTTATTTCTTTCCTCGAAACCTATATATTTATATCTCGTAACCTTCCACTTAAGTGCTTCTCAACAAACATCCTCATTAAATAACTAGGTCATCATTCAAAGAAGCTCCATTCAATTCAAATCATTTCAATGACATCTTTATTTGTATGTATATATCTGACCTTACTGTAAAGATTGTAGATAATTCAAGAAAACGAAAACTTATAATATATATTTTTTATTATAATTCTTTTTTTAAATTTAATATCAAAACAGCATATACATGTTTGAAATTTCATTTCAAAAATTGGCATTTGTTAATTTGGTGAATGAATATTAATTATCGAAAAAAAAGAAGAATAGTAACAGTTATAATAAAATATAAACTTTTCTATATATAAATAAATGAGTTTGGCGCTTTGTACAGTAAACTTAAGGGACGAAGCGGCATTCAAGGAAATACAAAAATTAGCAAAAACGAAATCGAGAGCTACACATCATTCATATTTGGTTCAATGTTATATAATTTAGTCCTCTGTCAAAAATATACCAGGTTAATAATAATTAGTTATTGCTGCGGAATTATTGGAGCACAGATTTCAATGTATTCAACAGCATTGATCCCAACACGAGTTTCTCACAATTAACTGTTATTGTTACCTCAACATCCTTCCTCGTTGCACTCACCAAAACTAAAGAAGACGAGGTCAGTGTTTGACCAGCGAACCTGAGGATTCAACATTTTAGTAAATTATTAACAAAACATTGATATTGATTTATTACCGAAGATCATTGTCGTGGCTCGGACACAATCCCAAATTAGCGGCCTGGTAGATTTTCTGCTTTAAGTTGGTTTCCTTACAGGAGACAATGCCTACATGCTCGTTCATACCTTTAAGTTTAATCTGCTCCTTAAGGAAATATTCTTCCGACATCGTAACTGGCCTTAGAAGCTCCCCAACATCAGGTTTTAAGCATATATTTGAAGATCCTAAAATATTGTCGTGACAGAATTATAAATAACAACTTATTCGAAGATTCGTACCCAATGAAGAAATAATTTGTAAATTGGCCGGATGCAACGAATCATTGAAATCAATTCCCAGTGTGCCTGGTAAACTGCTATTCGGGTTAAGGCTTGTTATACATGCAAACTCATGTACAGACATTCCCGGTGATAAAGTCTTCTCTCCTACTCTGATATCAGAAATCTCTTCAGAAGTGCTGTTGGTAAACACTAGGTTCAAGTTGACCATACTTGGAGAAAACAGGTGCGGGTTCCTTGTAAACCTGTAGGAGATACTCAATCCTTTACCGTTAATGCGGTTCAGTACTTCGGAGGTTTTGATAGGTATATCCACCGATGGGACGACTTGTATTGCCTGCACATTGTTGGTGACGCTCGTGACCGGTGACAAGAATCCTCCCAATGATGGAGTCAATATGGGACCACCACCGAAGTTCTGATCATTCATTTCTAAGTCCAATAATAAATCTAAGTTGGACTTCTCAGTCTTTTTTTGCGGTACATTGTCGAACAGTTTCTCTGCCTCTGGCTCGGTGAGTATTACATTGTCTCCTTCCTCCGTCTCGAGACTGCTATCCTCCTCTTCTTCTTCTTCCTCTTCGTCCTCGTCATCTTCATCTCCGGAAGAAGAATCTGACGAAGATGAAGTATGTTCATCAGATGAACTGCTCTTATTACTGAAACAACAATTAGCATCATTGTTATATATTCTACAAATAATTAATAACTCACTCAGATTCCGAAGATTCGTCACTTTCCCCACTGCCTTCAGCTTCCTCGGACAACTCGGAAGAGCTCTCCGTTTCCCAAGAATGGAAAATTTTCTCAAGCTTGGCTTCGGATTGGGTGCTAACCACTTGGGCGGGTTCGACTTCCCTTACATTCGGAGGAGCGACTTCAGGCCATGGTGGCAGCGGCTCGTAGCCGTTGGCCTTAGAATTTATGGAATGCGAAAGAGATCCCAGCTGATACAAATCTGATTCTACAATAAACAAATGTGTAGGTATACAGTTAAAATAATTGATTATGTAATGTACCTTCACTGGTTCTATATGTAGGAGCCGGTTTGCAGCTCAAAAAAATCTTTGCTGCAGAAGCAGCCAATTTGTTGCTAGGATTGTCTATAAAATTACGTAACAGCCGCGCTCGGTCCCTAATATCATAATTCTGATCGTATTTGGATAAGTTAAAGATGTATTGGCATAGTAAGTCGTACTGTTCCTTGTCAGAAATATATAATTTAACAGCAAGATTCAGCACTTGCAGCTTAACGATGTCTTCCTCGTTTGAAAATGATTTGGCCGCCCGCTTCAGGACGTTGGAAGCGGTTGGAATGTCTCTGCAGTGCTCACCTAACAACCAGATGATTGAAGCCCTAGCTTGAGCAACGTCTATACTATCCAGTAATCTAATCATCTGCTGGATGATTTCCTTCGGATTGGCGGCCTGTGTTTGCAACAATCGTTTAATAACTACAACGCTTTCCGCCACGACGACTTCATTTTTATTTGAGAGTAGCGTGACCAAACCGCTAAGGCACGTATCTGTGACAGCTGTTATGAAACACGCACAACGACCAATAGCTTGTATAGTTGCTGCCACAAAATCATCATCGTAACTAGAAATGTAAGTCTCCAGTTCTCTCAGTATGATGGATATGTTACTCTCGTTAGCAATATTCGTTAGTATATTTAATTTTAAGAGCTTAATCCTAGTTGAATCGGAAGTTCTCACGAAGAAGCTTTTCAGGTAGACGTCGAACGCGCCCTTCCTAGTTACAGTCATCGTGAGGATAGTCTTAAGCACCAGTTCCTGCACTTCTGGATTCGACCTGAGCAATCGGACGAGTGCTTTAACCGCTGCGATCGTCTCACTTTTTGGGCCGATGTGATGATACATCTGTGCTACCGCCATGACAACAGCCGCATTCCTAGACTGCAGCAAAGGCCTAGCGGAGCGCAAAAGTAACCTGTGATCCGGATCCAATGTAGGCGTGTTCTCTTTATCCGAAGCTTCCGATTCAGAATCATAAAAAGCCCGATCTCCATTGTCTTTATCCTAAAATAATAAATAAGAAAATAGCACTTCGTAAAGCAAAAATGCTGTTAACAGTACGTTCTTGCATGGATCCGTGAATTGTGTTCTTGCATATCTGGTCAACATATTTACAATGATTACTTGACCCCACTCATCAACGTCGCCCAATAAGGCACAGAGCTTAAGATAGACCTTATGTATAAGGTCTACGCGTTCTGGACAGACTTTGGTAAATGCCATTACTGCAGAGCCTATAACTAAAACAGTTCTATCTGCTAGAAGTTTCTCTATAATCACTATTAATTCTGGTTTAGTATCATTATCCAAACTACAAGATCAAGAAAAAATGTAAATAAATTTAAATTATAAAAATTATTTCGTTGATTCATTACCTATATAATTTAGGGATGGCATGAGCAGCAGTTTTTCTCACATAGGGAGACATGTCAGCAGCAGCATCCCGTATTGCAATCATCACAATAGGTGCAATCATACTAACTCGTATGCCAGACAATACTCTTAAAGCTCCAGCACGTATCAACTGATTGGGTTCCTTCAAAATTAATTCTTATAATGCATTCCGAGAAATTTAAAAGTGACAAACCTTTAAAGCTCTTTGGAATGTAGATATTGAAAGTAAAGCCAAATCCTCTTTTTCCTCAGCATAACGTTCCAAATATGAATAGACAAGTTTCTTAAGTTCAATATTCTTAGAAACTACATTTTTAACAACGGCTGGAAATAATGATGATGCATCTCTGCCTTTGGCTATCATCTACAATGAAAACCCATGAATAAAAATGGTATATACAGAGAATAAACAAAAGTGTAATACCCCAATAATCCTCTTCATAGCCTCAAGTTTCAGATTATCTTTATTTGAATCAAGCATTTCTTTGAGGTCTTCATGTCTAAAAAGTTCATGATAGAAACGTATTTGTGCCAATAGTAATGACAATGTTTACCTTCTATAATCTGAATTAAAGAAGACTCCAGAGGCAGGGTCAATTCCCACAGAATAGTCCTGATCCAGGGAGCCAGCACCAGAAGCCTTCTCCCTCTCAAAATTAGTCTTTCCGTACGCGTGATGGGTCATTGTTCCAGAAATGGAGTGGAGCATAATATAATTGAAAACCAGTTGACTCCAATAGGAACGTTAACTCTTTTTCAAAATTTGCACTAAAAATTCGATTTTAACAACAGAGTTTGACAGCAGACACGTACCTTCGCCATCTCTCTTCGGCAACTGCACTACCAACCTAAAAACATAATTTGTATATGTATAAAGGTTGGCGACACTTTTAAATTTTCCTATCATTTATTCAAATTTAAATACTGTTAAATTATGTTGTAATCTATAATGTTTTTACTGTTAAATATTCTTCGTGATGCCTTTTTTATATAACAATTATTCAAGTATTTAATAATACTAATTTTCAATAACAATAAAAGTTTCGAAAGAAACTGATAGAATATAAGACAATAATAACTATTTATGATAAAGTATATTTACAGAACAATTTATCGTTATAGGCAACTACGTAACATACAGTTGTTGAAATACAATCATTTATTCAATAGTACATGCTACTTGTTCATATATACAAGAGAAAATTAATAAATTTAGGCTCAATTCATAAAGTCTGACCACATCTGCTATAGATCCATTTATAGTTATGAAGATTTGAGAGACAATTTGAGAGACAATTCTTGAGAAATACTACACTTAATATATAATAAAAACGTTATAATTTGTTCACAACTACAACATAGTTTGTGGATCTACATCTAAATGTCCTTCTAATAACAGATATTTACATTTCATACAGACATTTGAAATATTTCATCGATTATCTATATTTCAAAATATTGTTTTTCTTATAAATTTGATTGACTTTATATATAAATCAAATGTTAATGTTTTAATAAACTGTAAGAAATTATGTAATGCAATAAAAATTGTATCATTGAAGTTATGGAAATTTCAGTAAGGTATTTCCCAACTCGTGGCTCTTTATAAATATTGCAACAATACATTGAACATAGAATATGATCTCAACATATTTTATTACATAAAAAATATTTAAAAAGTATAAATTAAATTAAAATTCTTCAATAAGATTTTATGAATCTTTTGTTATAATTATTTCAGAATATGTATAGATTACATGAAAATTCCCAAATCTAACTGGATTTGAAATAGAGAAAATCATAGATACAAACGTGAAATGTCGGTTCTTGTTAAGAAAGTCAGTTAATATTACTATTTGTTGGCTCTAAACAAATATTTATTTGGGCCCTCTATAGATCCGCCACTGTTTGGAGGTAGCAGGTATGAGTATATTACTTTCCTAGTAAACATTAGTTTATTTCATTTTGCATAAGAAGTAATGTAAATTTGACTGTGAAGGTTTACAAGATTTTTTTTAAATGATCGTTATGGCCTTGAAAACTGCATATATTTTGTAGTACATTTATTTTTAATTTATTTTAAGTCAGTCAGTGATTTTTTAATTTATTTTAACTATTATTGTATAAACTTATTTAACTTGTTTTAAAAATTATTACAATAAATTTGTAAATAATATTAATTTATTGGAATATTTTAAATAATCTACTTTCATAAATAAAATTACTATTTTTTTTTTGTATAAATGTTTGTTTCAAATCAGAAGATTATATTGTAATAAATGTATATAAATCAATTTGATTTTGAAAACAAATAGATCATTGCGCATTGTAATCCATTTGCGCAGTTCTTCGTTATGTAATCTCGATGGAAACGGTACAAAGGTGGAACATTGCATTCTACTCGTCACCAGTCTCTTTCGTTTGCTATTGTTAAGAACGAAACCGCCCGAAGGCTTTTGTTTGCCCCCACAAAAAAAAATGTGAGTGTGTTTCTATGTTCTCTTCAAAATATTGATTTATGTGTCTATCCAAACAAGTTTCTTGGATTTCCCTATCTCTTTTAACAGAACCGAAAACAACATTGTACATTTCTGGTTTTGGTTTTTACTGCACTATACCATAGCCAACAGATGTCTAAGCTCATAGGAATGTCTTATTTTATATGCTTTTTCACATTGAAAAAATATGTACAGTGGAACCTCGCTTAACGAGCGACGTTTTGCATAACGAATGATGATGAGAAGAGAAGTCCCGGATTGCGTGCTTGCTGCATCATTTTCAAAACTTGTGTACACATATCATATGCATTTTTGAATGTGTTTCACTATACGACTAAAAATCCGGAAATTTTGAAACTACTTGATTATTAAAAAAACACTATAGGAATGGCTATTATTATTCATCTTTGTACTTCGAATCAAATAGATATAGAAAATTTTCAATAAATATTCGATTTGCATCAAAAAATAAAATTAAATTTTAATTCAACAAAAGCATAAGTCATATAATGTTCAATGTGTAGAAAACAAATTTGTTTTTTTTCTGATATAATTGAATAAAAGAGATAACATTTTTATTTATAGACAAATGTGTTGTTGTGAAACTATCAGCAGTAACTATACTTTATTTATGAGTTAATAATAAAAAGCAATCAAGTTTGCAGAATACATTACCAACAGAAGTACGTCATATATATTTTTGTTTACAAAATTATAAAAATACAATGGAATCTCGCATAACGATCACCTCGTATAACGAAGATTTCGCTTAACGAGCAAAATTAATTGTAAGAAAAATGAGAATTGTGGATTGTGTGCCTGCTACATCATTTGCTACAATTGTTTCACTATAAGAGTACTTGATTATACGAGTAAAAATCCGGAAATTTTGGAACCTCGTTAAGCGAAGTTCCACTGTATTTAAAGTTATGTTATTTTATAGATATATCAATAAAAAAAACTTTTAGGGAACATTTATTAAGCTAGAATGATTATATTTTCTATTAATAGAACAAACTAATTAACACTGTCAATAATTGATAAATACTGATAAAAACAGCAATCGATTCAGCTTGGCGCTAGTATTAATATAATAAACATGAATACTATACCTGTATTACATAAGTTGACATACGATAAGTGCATGTACGTTAATCGGACGAATAATTCCCATATGCATTTACGTTCGCACGAGCGTACTCGACATTCATACGAACGTTAATTTGCCGTCATCCAATGTTTATATTTAATATATAACTTCATGCTAATATGTAGCTACTTTCATAATATTCAGCTATTGTTTTAGAATCTACGGCCGGTCGGATAGAAACTTTAGGCCGTAGTTTGAATTACGGGGTTTAATCAAGGAAATTTTATTTCAAAAGTTAAATTGATATTATTTGTACGTTAAGTGAACGTTTACAGTATAGGAATTCAACTGCTATAAGACAAGGTTAGTTTTGATGAAAACATGATGGTTAAATAAAATTATTGGTATTACTATGATTACTACAATTAAAAATCGTAGTATCAATGGTTTCTCTCATTTAAAAAAATATTATTATTAAAGAAAGGTTCGTTGACATTTAAATGTTTTTATATAAAAAATTGATGGAATTAAACAAAAAAATATGTTTAGCTGCTTCCGAAATGCCGAGGTCTGAATGCATAATAAATATTTAATTTATATCCAACAGTGCTGAACGTGTTATGAGATGATTCTATAACGATAAGAGGAATATAAACAGAAGTATGTATTTCAAGGTGTTTTGTGAAACTTTCATTTTCACGCTTTGTTTCACAAATTGAAAACATACATGTACACTCTTTTGACAAAATAATTAGGGAAAGTGGAAATGTATAATTACATCCGTATAAATCTGGATTAAGCAGTAATTATAGCATATATTACAAGTATAGGTATGATAATCTGCTTTAGATCAGAGCTTTAGCGAAGTAAATGAAAATTTATTGTCATATTAAAAGAAAACCTTCTTTTCAACTTTTATTTAGCAATAAATTTGCTCACGAATCTTTGAAACCAAGATTTGAGAAAATGATTATAGTCGCATGCAATATTACTTCTTTGTCATAAGTTATTTCCAGCACGATTAGAGTACTGCACGTGATCATGATTAGTTCAATTAGGAAAAACGTGGAATCATTTCCAAGGTTAATTACTTTGTTAATATACTTACATACATTCTCTATATAGTAGAACCTCGCTTAACGAACACCTCGCATAACATAAAATGAATTCTAAGAAAAATGACTTGCTTAACGAGCGAGGTTTCGCATCATTTCTGAAACTTGTGTACAAATATTATGTGTATTTTTTAATATGTTTCAATATACAAGTAAAAATCCGGAAATTTTGAAACGGATTAAACTCGTTAAGCGAGGTTCCACTGTATATGAAATATTATTAAATCATAATCAATACATAATAAATATTTTTATCAATTGACACCATTCAAGATTTTGCTTGAATTCTATCAATAATTTGTAATTAATTTTCTATTTATTTTTTTCATTCACTATTTTTTTTTATAGTTGACTTGTTCAGAAAGTTGATTGACCTGATATTATATACAGTTAGCACATGTTATTAGTATTATTATGTTACTATTCACTTACATAACATTCAATAAACGCATGCAAAATTATATATTTTTTGTAGCTCACTTAAAATAGTTAACTGTAATAGTTAACATCAGCTGTTTTAATAAAAGTGATTTTTTTAATTTAACTGAAAGAAAACTATATTCCTTTTGATTATACAAACAATCAGCGTCAAATCCAAATTATATTTCTTAAATTTCTATAAATAATTATTAAAAAAAAAATTGTGTACTAATTTTTTAGAAGTTATTTTGTAAATTAAAATTTAGTTTTAATTGTCAATTCCTATAGACTAATGATATATTTATTCTTTTTATTATTTCAAAATTATAGTATAGCATTGAAATGAATATGCAAGGATATGAGGAAGATGCTTCAACAATAAGTATTCATCTGCAGCAGCGGTCAAGGCGTCTCGTGACTGGTGATTGTTGTTTATTTGTACTTCTGTTTTTTATATTCATCAAGTGCATTCGGTTATTATTATTGTTGGAAAACGCAAACATTGACTTACTAATTATTACTTAAAATTTAATCTCTATATCATTCCGAAACGATGATTAGTAAATCCCCTAGTTCTTATATATTTTTCTCCTAAGTTTAAACATGAAAAGAAAAATTCTTAAACGGTAACAACAGAAACAAAAATACGTGCTTTATTTTTGTTATTTATTTATAACGAATTTCTGTCGAAATAAATGAGCAGAAATTCCCAGAGTTCTTTTAATCTTGAAGCTCATTAAGAATGTATGTTATTATTCTATTCATGTTTATTGTTGTCTTCGACGAGTACAGAAATTCACTATAAACGATATTGTTTTTACTTATGTACGTTTTTTATTTTCTTAAGTATTTACATACAATCTTTTATTGTCTTTTCTTTTAATTATTTACTTAAATTTGAAGTAAAAAATACAATCTCAAAAGATACAAAAGATTTTTTTATATTAACCTTAATTAATAATGTGTTTGTATTTATTACCATTAACAAAAAAAATTCTTATGAGACATTTAATAACAAAGAAAGAATTACGTTAAAAAAAATATTAGAGATCTGCAACTTATTTTATGTATTATTTCTATAATTATTTATTAATATTCCATATTTGTTGCTATAGTTTTTATGCACTAAAACATTATTATTATATAATTACGGTACGAAAATATATTTTTTTTGGGTTATAAATATTAACTTCGTTAATTATACTCAATGTCATCGAAATATTTGGTATAACTACTCTTTACATATATATTAATTTAATAATTTACTAATTTTTGAGCCAAAAAGTTAAAGATCGAAGTCTTTCTGCCTATAATAATTATATTTATTGCAATAATATAATTATAAATATTTAATATAATAATACAATAAAAAGTTAACCGCTGCAAACCAATTTTATTATTTGCTCTAAAGTTGATTGTTTTCTTCACAGACTTAATTAATAAAAATGATCTTTGATTTGATTCAATGTACATTTTGTATATTGAATTTTTTATTTAAATTATTAGCTTCATTTAGAAATAAATAATGCTCTAGTGTATCAAAAAAGAAATGTAATTTTGTGCGTGCAATTTTCTTCGTATCGCAGTTTCCTGTGGTCGCCTTGCGTAATCATTAAATGCAATTACCCAAGCAAATTGTAGAAAAAGTATACGGTGTCAGCGATTGCGATTCCGCTAAATCCACTATAGGCATCCTGTTCGTCGTCCACAAAACCAAAAAGAGATTCCGGCACCACCGGACACAGGACATCGTGGTTATCGCCGTCTGCGACCAGGGTGGTGTTCATGAAGGAACCAGTTATCAGAACCAGCATGACGAGACAGAGAGAGTCCTTGAAGGATTGGCAAGCGTCGGAGAGAAACCGAGAGATCTTTGAATACGGCGATCTCCGATTGCGGTGCAAAATAAAAGTAGCCTGGTCAAGTTTATGATCCCGTCAAGGTCAGGATTTCCCTGTGACGTCAGGTGCGCTCTACCTGTTTGCTGGCTTTATTGTTTTTCCATTGGCTGGGCCTATTCAGGAATGCTCGAAATGCCCGATCTGAAGCATTGAACTCCTGCGCCAAAGCCGAAGCGCTATTCGAGCTCCGCTGCTCGTCGAATCAGTTGTGTTTATCGGTATCTAAAGTGTTGTTTTGTTTATTTATATACACGCTGCCGGAGCATTCTTTATCCAGTGGTGACCTCAACGCGCGACGTATCTCAGAGGGTCAGCAGACGTTCTTTACAAGATGTCCACATTTTTGCTGCTCGGTAAGTGAAAAATCGATGAAAAAAAATAATGAAACAAGAAACGTATTTTACATCAAATTTAATTACTTAATAGGTGTATTGCTCTGCTCGCCGCTAATATCGTTAGCAAATGCAGCGCAATCGATCGAACATGACGATTACATGCCCTTATACGAGAACGGTCTTATGGATGAATTCGACTGGACACTTCTCAAGGTATTAATCTTAAACCTTTAATTAGAATCGCTCTGATCTTACTTGTTTGTTAGGCTGTGGTCAAGGAGAACCGCGGCAACATCATTATTTCGCCGATCAGCTTGAAAATCGTCCTGGCGCTCGTATACGAAGCCGCCGCTGGAACAACCGAAACCGAGCTTCGCGAGGTCCTTAAATTCCACCAGAACAAGACGTTCGTTCGACAGGAATACAGCAACATCATCGACTCTCTACAAGTAAATCAGCAGTTCAATAAAAAAAAAATAACAACAAGTGAAATAATGTAAAACTAATTACAGAACTACAAGAAGTACGGATGCGACGATTCCCAACCTATAGATTCCAACGAGCTGTACACTCTGAAATTGGGTACTCGTGTTTTCTTGGATGAAAAGATACAACCTCAGCAGTTGTTCCAGGCGAAAGCATGCGAGAAATACAGGACAAAGATCGAGCCTACCAATTTCGCGGATGCCCAGAGGGCGAGCAACACTATTAACGCGTGGGTGGACAAGTTGACCATGGGTAGAATCAATAAACTCGTGACTCCAGGTAAGAAAATGATATATTGATTATTATTAAGCACGTTTAACGAAAAAAAAATGATTGTTTGCAGATGATGTTAATAATGCGGTTATGTTCATCGCCAACGCTATTTACTTCAAGGGTTTCTGGTACCATCAATTCCCTAAGAACGAGACAAAAACCGGCGGATTTTATCTTACGCCGAAAAATACCATCCAGGTGGAGTACATGGCCAATACGGACGTTTACTTCTTCACGCATTCCAAGGAACTCGACGCCAAACTGATTCGCATCCCCTATAAAGTAATGCCTCTTTCTAAATGTAAAGTAATAAATGTAATTATTTTTTTTTATTACGCGCAGGGACTCAAATTCTCGATGATTATCATGTTGCCGAATGCTAAGGCTGGCTTGGAGGACCTCATCAAGCAGTTAACCATCACTAAGTTGAAGAACCACATTGGTTTGATGGACAAGACAAAAGTTGATCTGATCCTGCCTAAATTCAAATTCGACTTCCAAACCAGTATGACGGACGTTTTGAAATCAGTAATGCAATGACTCTTTTCCCTTGGTAATTTAGATAACTATGAGTTCATTTCCAGTTGGGATTAGTGTCGTTATTCCAAAATACTGCGAGTCTTCCGGGAATTTTAAGGAGTGGCGGTGCGCAACTCCAGGTATCCAACATCATGCAGAAATCAGGAATTGAGGTCAACGAAGAAGGAAGCGTGGCTTATGCTTCAACAAGTAACTATAGCTAGAATCGTTAAGTGATCACTCTAACTTTTATCTAACAGCTATCCAGATTGCAAACAAGTTCGGCGATGCGCAGATCGACTTCAATGCCACACATCCGTTCCTCTTCTTCATCGAGGATCAAACGACGCATACCATCCTCTTCGTTGGAAAGGTGGAAAACCCGTTGGATTCGAATCCAATCCCCACACCGAGTCGCTTCGGCGATAACAGCCTGGACCAGACTAATTTGAACGGTAAGTAAGTTGCTGTAGAGAAGAAAAACAAAAAAAAAACAATGTAGTGAAAATAAATGTTTTCGTGTAGTAATACTTTTCTTTATGGACACGAAAAAAGCATTGGAAATACCCAAGCGTTCAATATCAAAGTAGATAATTTGATTGAATGCTCGGAATAACCCATTCATTGATATGATTATTAATTAGTAACTATTTCGTGTCTGCTTGGGCATGGCGCAGCAGAAAACACTGAATCTCGCATAAACGGTCGACCAGTATCACGGGAATTCCAAGGTCGCTGCCTGCGACATTGCATTGGTTTTGACCAGTGGCCAGTACAAGTGTGCCCAACGCAATAACTACCTCGCTCGTTTAACACCTGACATAAGTAACACAACAAAAACATGATCTGGATATTTCTCTTATTCTCAGGTAGTCATTTTGTTGATCACGTGCAAAAGAACTCGTAGACTTGTTTTTAAAATATATATAATATATTTTAAGCTTTGCGCAGTGACCCTAAGGTTAACTGATTACTTTAATCGAAAATATTTCAAAATATTGCAGCTCCAGCCTCGGGTGCCAACAACTATCCGAATCTTTCGCCGAATTTAACACCGCTTAATGAGCCAGAACAAGCCATCAGCAAACGCTTCAACTATTTCGACTTAGAATTACTCAGGGTATGATGAATTTATCTATGCTTTATGTAGAAACCCTTGGTATTAATTGTTGTTATTAGGAGGTTGCCTCTGATGAAAATGTATTCATATCGCCTGCCAGTATCAAAGCGACTTTGGGGATGGTTTTGGAAGGAGCCAAAGGCAACTGCGCTGAAGAAATAGTGAAGACCCTTCGATTGCCGTTGAACCAAAACGATGTTAGGAAACAACTCGAACCTTTGCTTTACGACCTATCTGTAAGCTTTGATAATATCATATAATCAATTTTATTTGATTGTATTCGATTTCAGGATAGAGGCGCGCATTCTTTATTAGAATCGGTGAACGGAATATTCGCCTCCAATAAGTTAACCGTTTCGGATTCCTACAGGAAAACAATCGAGAAATACTATAGAGGTTTTGTGAAGACACTAGATTTCACTAACTCTGAAGCGGCAGCGCATTTGATCAACAGCTTGGTTTCTAATATCACTCGAGGCTCTATTAATGAGATCGTGAACAGTGACTACGTAAGGCCGGACGCTGGTATGGTGGTCATGAACGCATTGTACTTCAAAGGACTTTGGAAGAAATCCTTCGACCACAAACAGACTGTTGTGAAATGCTTCCAAATGCCTAACAGGCAATGCGTAAATGCCTACATGATGCAGAATACCGATAATTTGAACTACAAGCTTATCGAGGACATCGACGCCCACGCATTGGAAATCCCATACAGCGTAATATTATCATTGGTAATTTCAATGTTCCCCAAGTAATTATTGTTATTACAGGATGACAAATACGCAATGCTAATTCTGCTGCCACGCGTGAAAAACAATATTCACGCCTTGATCAAGGATTTACAGCACGCGTCCTTTAGGAATATCGTGGATAAATTGGAGATGGCCGAAGTGCAATTCGAAATTCCAAGGTTTGAAATCGAATTCTCTACGGAATTGAGCAGACCTTTACAAACAGTAAGTTAACGTTATAATTTGCATAGTTTTCTTTCAACTGTTGTGTTTCAGTTGGGAATCCGCGATATTTTTGGAGACAAAGCCAATTTGAGTGGAATCGTGACCAATAAACCAATTTTCATTGACAACATCGTGCATAAAACCAAGATTACTGTAGATGAACGCGGAACTATTGCCGCTGCTGCCACTGGTGCTGTAGTCATACCACTGATGGGAGCTTCCAATCCAAATGTGATTGCCGACCATCCCTTCGCCTTTTTCATTTACAGGAGGGACAACAAGAACGTCCTGTTCGAAGGCATCGTCAATAAACCCTTAGAATATAATAGAGGTAGGAGCACCAACTTCTACAATCCAAGGGGATTCACCAATCAACCCATATCCGGTTGAGTATTCGATCGATACACTCAAACTTTATTCTCGCATAACTCTTTCCTTGTATAAGTTATATATTTTTTATTAATACAATATATTCTTTCGTAAAAAAATACGCAAATGCCTAAACGCTTTTCATTTAATGTCATCCGATGAGTCGGTACAATTTAAAATAAATTAGTACTGGAAAATTTCCGTTCAATTAAGTTTCACAAAAAAAAACATGACATACCATTAACCGTTATGATTACATTTTTTTTTGGAGTTCAGGATGATTCCGAAATACAGTTAGTGAATAAATTAAAAAGTAATAAAACAAGCTTTCTCTCTGTTTACAATTATGATTTAAATTTATCACAAAACGTATTATGCTTTTATGGATTGAATGTAAATTTTAATTTGGTACATAATATCCATATTTATATTAATATGCTTGACTCACGCATCATATGTTTATATAATACTCATAGATCGCTGTTTATAAATTGATGTGTTGTAGCTTTTCAAGTATTCAATTACGTAAACCGAGGATGCAGAATAGACATATGCTCATAAATTAATTACCTAATTAGTGAATAATTGTTATAAAGACAAAATTAGATAATTAGTAAATAGATTGAATAGGAAGAAACAAATTAGTCAATTAATTTATATGATTCATTCAATGTTATTAAACATGAAAAAACACTCAAAAATTATACAGATAAAAAAATGACTGCAGTTAAAGTTACATAAAAGTTAAATACACTTTTAGTTAGAAGACAGATTTGAAAAATTATTAAGAATTATAAATGAAAATAAGGATTTGTATGGTCATGAAGGATTCAAAAAAAAAACAAAACATTGATTTAACAAAGATTTTTTTTATTTGATTTTTAATACAGCATTTTAAAGGATAAAATAATACATTACTGCATATGCTTAACTATTATTACTATGTTTACTGTTATACAGTTTTATTTTATTTTTTTCATACTTAATTATGTTTGTTTGGTTATATACTTTATATACTTATAAATCAAAGTTTACGAAGAGTATGTTGAAGTTATCCAATCTATGCCCAGAGGAGATTGTTATGAAGCCTATGAAGAAAAACAGATCGATCTGCGTAAATTACAATATATTAGAAAATTCGGATCAACAGAGTTCAATAAGATATTTCGATTAACTCAGTTTAATTTATTTCTCATTGAATATATTTACGTTAGTTTTCGTCATATTTAATCCAATTTTTTGATTCTACTTCTCAAAACTTTTGTTAGTATAAAATATTAAATATAACCGTTACATAAAGTTTAAAGATTTTAAAGTTAATAGAGTAAAAAATTATTAATTACTGAATATGAAAATGTAATAAAAATAGAAATAATAATGAAATGTCGTAGATATGGTTAATCAAAACGAAAACATGCTTGGAATAAGTTACATAGGAATGGAAAATTATATTTACAAAACCTAACAAAGACACAACCTAAAAATGATTAAAATATGGAGTATAGTAAATTAACTAAAATCTGCTATCAATTAATGAATTGTATAAATGCTTCTGTCTATATACCGGACTGTTTGAAACCGGATATGACTATAAAAAAGAATAAACATATCATTGATGTATACAAAAATAATTTTGTCCACAAATTTTTATTTTGATGAATTAAAATTTAGTTTGACTGATTGATTTTTTGTTGAAAAAATCTAATTTAAAAAATGTATGTAGGAAAAATGAAAATTTAATTTATTACAGCAAGTTGCTTTCTTTCATAAAATATATATATTTTAAAATTACCGTGATTTTAGTAAATTTTCAACAGAATATATGACTTTATTAAAAATTTGCGAGTTGCAACAATAAATTTCATAGAAAAAATGGAAATTTGTCTTGTGAGATAATGTTATAAAATAATATTGTTTGCAGTATGAGAAATTTGCTAAAGTTACCGAATAAATTGTCATCTCTAAAAAGATACCGAAACGATATCAATAAAAATAGGTACAATTTCGTAAAACAAAAAAGAAAAAATTGTATACCGTCTGGTTCCGGTGTTTTCTGAGGGGGAGGTTCGTAGGTTGACTCAGTGCCGCATTCATAGTTTTCTTCATCCCATTTGTGACTCCTGAAATGAAATAATTTTTGTATAACCGCACAAAATTTTCGCAGCATTTTGCAATACAAAAAGTGACACAAATTGCAGTCAAAATAACGTTTTTCCGCATGTCTCTACAAGCATATATGTATAAAATAAAGGATTTTACTTACTTCATGCAGATGCACCGATTCTTGATGCAGAGACTGTTTGGCCCGTTGCAATCAAGAGTCTTCTCGCAGTTGTATTCGCTCATCCCTGTGCAATAATTGTGCAATTAGTTGTGATATTTAGTAAAAATAAATTTAACTTACCCATTACAACATTAAAGCACAGGAGACAAACAATGGCGAAGAAGGATAACTTTTTGAAGAGCTTCATAGTGGTTGACTGTATTGAATGTATTTGATCAAGAGCTAAAATGCGACTGCAGCAAATGCAAATCCTGCGCGCCTTTCATATACGGTGGTTAAGTGACTGTGCCCTTAATAAACGCAAAGTTTAATGCAAAAATTGTCCTGTAAATTGACGCTTTGTTAAAGATGATAGGGATACAAATAAGAATCGGAATTGATTCACTTGTGCATTGCAATTATCTAATTTATTGTGCACTTTAGAACGTATTTTATCGTTGCATTTAGAATTAGATTTGATGATTTTAATCAATTCTAATGGTGGAGGGTTCCTTCATTCAAGACCTCGCAATCAAACGTTGTTACATGTTCATATAATCTGCGCAGAGAACTCTCAATATCAACAACAACTATGCTTGCAAAAACAACCGAGAGGAAAATTTCAATGCTCATACAAATTGAAAAATAGGTTTATCTGTTATTTCTATAGGTATATACAAAGTAAGTTTTATAAAGATATTAATATATTTTTAAACTCTTTTACCACAAAAACAAATTTGCAAATTTTTAAGTGATAATAAAATAATTAATGTTAATCCAAATCAATTTTTTTCCCTCCACTTTCTAGTAAATTAATTAAGTAACTTTAAGCAAATCACTGCTATTTCGACCATTTTAATTTCAATTTTTCAACTTCGAACGCGTATTACAGCAATACGGATAAGAGTACAGGAAAGTATCTATACTTGCTGGATTCCCCAAACATTCAGCTTTCATATGCATTATTGGATTTATTCTATCTATTATAGTTTTCGAGTAAATCAATGAAATGTGAAGACACTGCTTTTTCGACCGTTTTAATTTCAATTTTTCAACTTCGAACGCGTATTACAGCAATACGGATAAGAGCACAGGAAAGTATCTATAC